TGATAAGTCATCGACTGCCATCAACATCAATGGCTACCATCAACATCCATGGCTACCATCAAACTCCATGGCTACCATCAAAATTAATGGCTACCATCAAACTCCATGACTACCATCAACATCAATGGCTACCACCAAACTCCTTGACTACCATCAAACTGCATGGCTGCCAACAACATTCTTCTACTACCGTCAACATCCATAAACTACCATCAATATCCATCTAACATCAACAAAATCCTACAATTACTATAAATATACATCAACTACGATCAACATCAATCAACAACCATCAACATTTATCAACTTCCATGAACATCATTTGACTATCATCAAGATTCTTCAACTGCATCAACATCCATCCGCTACCATCAATATCCATCAACTACCATCAACATTCATGACTACCATCAACATCCTTCGACCAGCATCAGCCTCTTTACCATCCCCAGCATGAATACATCAAGATTAAGCTCACACAAGTTCCCATCCATCTTCTTACCGCAGACCGGAGTTTTAGCAAATGTTCTTTTATTCAAATTTCTGACGCGAGTCACTGATTTTTATTCATAGCTTTCGGCCAGGTTTGAATACGTTACCATGGCAACGTTGTTTTCGGCCGTCCCTGGTTAATGAAGGAATAACCAGACCGAAGACAGACGTACCAGAAAAACGTCATCTGTAACTTGGTTGGACTTATGTGGACACGAGTAGGTTTGCTGACCGAAACACAGACGGTCAGGATAATATGTCAGGAAACACGTTATGTGCAGGGATATGCTATGTAAGGGGCGATGGTCTGGATAATGCTATGTAAGGGGTGATGGTCTGGATAATTTCTATGTAAGGGGCGATGGTCTGGATAATGCTATGTAAGGGGTGATGGTCTGGATAATTTCTATGTAAGGGGCGATGGTCTGGATAATGCTATGTAAGGGGTGATGGTCTGGATAATTTCTATGTAAGGGGCGATGGTCTGGATAATGCTATGTAAGGGGTGATGGTCTGGATAATTTCTATGTAAGGGGCGATGGTCTGGATAATGCTATGTAAGGGGTGATGGTCTGGATAATTTCTATGTAAGGGGCGATGGTCTGGATAATGCTATGTAAGGGGTGATGGTCTGGATAATTTCTATGTAAGGGGCGATGGTCTGGATAATGCTATGTAAGGGGTGATGGTCTGGATAATTTCTATGTAAGGGGCGATGGTCTGGATAATGCTATGTAAGGGGTGATGGTCTGGATAATTTCTATGTAAGGGGCGATGGTCTGGATAATGCTATGTAAGGGGTGATGGTCTGGATAATTTCTATGTAAGGGGCGATGGTCTGGATAATGCTATGTAAGGGGTGATGGTCTGGATAATTTCTATGTAAGGGGCGATGGTCTGGATAATGCTATGTAAGGGGTGATGGTCTGGATAATGGTATTGAATTGGTAATGTCCTGAATAATGTTATGTAACGGGCAATGGTCTGGATAATGCTATGTAAGGGGCGATGGTCTGGATAATGCTATGTAAGGGGTGATGGTCTGGGTAATGGTATGTAAGGGGCAATGGTCTGGGTAATGCTATGTAAGGGGCAATGGTCTGGGTAATGCTATGTAAGGGGCAATGGTCTGGGTAATGCTATGTAAGGGGCAATGGTCTGGGTAATGCTATGTAAGGGGCAATGGTCTGGGTAATGCTATGTAAGGGGCAATGGTCTGGATAATGCTATGTAACGGGCAATGGTCTGGATAATGCTATGTAACGGGCAATGGTCTGGGTAATGCTATGTAAGGGGCAATGGTCTGGGTAATGCTATTTAAGGTGCAATTGTCTGGGTAATGCTATGTAAGGGGCAATGGTCTGGGTAATGCTATGTAAGGGGCAATGGTCTGGGTAATGCTATGTAAGGGGCAATGGTCTGGGTAATACTATGTAAGGGGCAATGGTCTGGGTAATGCTATGTAAGGGGCAATGGTCTGGGTAATGCTATGTAAGGGGCAATGGTCTGGGTAATGCTATGTAAGGGGCAATGGTCTGGGTAATGCTATGTAAGGGGCAATTGTCTGGGTAATGCTATGTAAGGGGCAATGGTCTGGGTAATGCTATGTAAGGGGCAATGGTCTGGGTAATGCTTAGCAAAGACGGAGTGATCTGGACTATTAGAGGAGCAACAATTTTTTTTTAAAGTTTCCCAAGAGAAATGAGTTTGACAAGAAGACGTTAAATATTAGATGAGCAATTGGATTGATAGTTTTGTTGACACATATCTTGAATTTTGGGGAATATTCCGACAACTCCTGCGACGCTCCTGGCGCCAAGCTGTATCATCCACACATGATGTTCCCTTTGGGTTATCCAGGTGTGTGGAGAGGGGCGAATAGCTGTGTATGGAACCAGCTTATACTCAATAAGAAAGATCCCATGCCTTGTGATTTAGTCCAGTGAAGTCAACATCATCGTCACATTGTGACGGACGGTGTGAAGGACAGTGTGACGGACAGTTTGACGGACAATGTGACGGATGGTGTGGCGGATGGTGTGACGGACGGTGTGGCGGACAGTGGGACGGACAGTGTGACGGACGGTGTGACGGACGATGTGGCGGACGAGTGGCGGACGATGTGGCGGACAGTGTGACGGACGGATACCAGGGAAAAAATGAATTTAAAAATGCCTTATAAACTCTCCCCTCCATCTCTGCCCTCCCTCTTTGCCCTCCATCTCTGCCCTCCCTCTCTGCCCTCTGACTCTACCCTCCATCTCTGCCCTCGATCTCTGCCCTCCATCTCTGCCCTCCATCTCTGCCCTCTGACTCTACCCTCCATCTCTGCCCTCGATCTCTGCCCTCCATCTCTGCCCTTCATCGCTGCCCTCCATCTCTGCCCTCTGACTCTGCCCTCCATCTCTGCCCTCGATCTCTGCCCTCCATCTCTGCCCTCCATCTCTGCCCTCC